TGGAGAGACCCTGCAGTGAGGTGTGGGGCCGAGCGGGGCACGGGGCAGCCCGGGGCAGGTCGGAGGTGCCTGTCCCTCCGTGCGCGCGCGCCGTACGTTTCTGGGTGACGTACGTGTTTCTGGGTGACGTTGCGGACATCCCCGACGTACATGATCTTGCCCTGGTGCCTCACCATGCCCACGGTGATGGAGTCCTCGCACACCTCGGAGGCGATGTAGCGGTCCACCTGGATGCCCAGGTCCTTCAGCACCAGCAGGCCTGCGGGGGGGAGGGCAGGGGCATCAGCGGGGACAGGGGACAGTCCCATCCCAGGGAGGTGGCCCCATGGGCATCCCAGGGGTATCCAGGATCCATCCTAGTCCCATCCCCAGGGAGGTGGCCCCAGCTCCATTCAAGGTCCAACCCGGGGAGGTGGCTTCAGGTGCATCTGGGGGACACGGCCCTAGCTCCATCCCAGGTGTATCCTGGGTCCATCCCAGGTCCAGTTCAGGGATGTGGCTCCAAGTCCATTACAGACCCATCCCAGGGAGGTGGCCCCATGGGCATCCCAGGGGTATCCAGCATCCATCCTGGGTCCATCCCCAGGGAAGTGGCCCCAGGTCCATCCAAGACGCATCCTGGGGAAGTGGCCCCACGTGCATCCCAGGGACATCCCAGCTCCAGCCCAGGGAGGTGACCACATGTGCATCCCAGGCAGGTGGCCCCAGGTCCATCCCGAGCTGGTGACCCCAAGTGCATCCTGGAGAGGTGGCCCCAGGTGCATCCTGAACTGGTGGCCTCAGGTGCATCCCGAGTTGGTGGCCCCAGGTGCATCCCGAGCTGGTGGCCCCAGCTGCATCCCGAGGGAAGTGGCCCCAGGTGCATCCCGAGTTGGTGGCCCCAGGTGCATCCCAAGGGAAGTGGCCCCAGGTGCATCCTGGGCCAGTGACCCCAAGTGCATCCCGGAGAGGTGGCCCCAGGTGCATCCCAAATTGGTGGCCCCAGCTGCATCCTGAATTGGTGGCCTCAGCTGCATCCCAAGGGAAGTGGCCCCAGGTGCATCCCAGGTCGGTGACCCCAAGTGCATCCTGGGGAGGTGGCCCCAGGTGCATCCTGAATTGGTGGCCCCAGCTGCATCCCGGGGAGGTGGCCCCAGGTGCATCCCAGATCAGCGGCTCCAGGTGCATCCCCGGTCAGTGGCCCCAGGCCCACGGCCGGACACGTTGGCTGCCCCATGGGTGCAGGGCCCCTCTCCCGCTCCCCGGTGCCCCCAACGCAAGGT